CGCCGAAGTCCCGGGTTCGATTCCCCACAAGGGTTTAATGTGCGAAGCCCATTTCTGGTGTCCCCCGCCGTGATATTGCTGGAATATTGCTAAAAGCGGCGTAAAACCCAACTCACTCACTCACTCACTCACTCTAAATGCCATTCAAAGACCTAAACGTTACCAGACAGCTATCACTTTGATGTAGTGATGAACAGACAGATATTCGGCATCGTTGTCAGGAAGGTCTCTTCCTTCCCCCTTTCTCTTTCCTTGTAATCGATAGGAAAATAGTTTTTACACGTGAAACCAATCCATTATTTAATTTACACCGGATACAATGGAGAAAAGACAGGCATACTGACGTGCACGAATGACATTTACTGTACAGACAGTACTGTTTCCTCTGTTTCAGCGGTGTAATGGCCACCTTGAAGGGCCAGAGATAACTGTGGGTCCGCCGTTTGATTTAGTGTTTTAAGTTGTGCGCTAGGCATGCCGGCCGTTCTGAAAATAACGTGTCGTTAAAACAATAAATATATGGCTCTGGTCCTCATCCCAGAGTAAAACATTGCTTCAAACCACTAATATAATAACCTATGGCTAGCGATAGTTATTTCTTTTATCACACTTGCACGTTGACAGAGAAGTTATCGTAAACGTGACCAAAGGAGTGAAAAATAGCTTAACATATGTTATATTTGGGATTACACTTTCTTAGTAAAGTACAGATTCTTGTACTTTTGTTGGGTTGAGTCCCATCAGGGATTCGAACCCACACCCTCAGAGTCAGGCACCTAATCGCCAGCACACAAAGTCAGCCGCCTAACCCGCTCAGCCACCGCGACTTCACTTTATACTTTCTAAATGGCATTGTGTAACTAAAAAAAGTTTACTTTTCTCAATTTTCCTAACCACTGTGAAATGTATGCACTAATCTGATAAAAGAATACTCTTAGTCTTACCCAAGGTCAATCCCAGGTCACGTTGATCTTGCTTCATGAACTATTATTACTATTTTGTTTAATTTAAATGCTGTTGCAAAATCTTTTTTAAACATCTCTAAAATTGTCACCTAATTAGAGAAACACGGGTTTTTTAGTTTTTTTGTGTGGGTTATTTAATGATTTCACTCGCCCGATCTCTTTCTGGTTGAGGTTAAAGATGAGAAACATACAGACAAATAGGGCTAGTCTTTATAGTATAAGCGACAGAATCATTTCAATAATTCCAAGAAATCTCAGTCCGTTTTAGGATTCCAGCTACACCATGAGCATATGTTTATGAATAGCTGTCAATAAGTAATGATACTAGGTGTTCCTACTCTTTGTATCACACATTCAGCTAATAAGCCGCTATGTAACACAAATACCATCAAAGGGACAGGACCGTCGCCCGCTTCTGCGCATGCTCCAGACGATCATCATAACGCCCTTTAAGTTCCTACTGATCAAATGAACACCGTGCGTCTATCTATGACTTAATGATGAAGGCTTCAGAGCGCGACATCTGGAATCTAGGTACATTTAAACGTTGAAACAGAATACCTTGCCCTCCTTATCCACAAAGAGTCATTAGCATATTGGCTGGCGATGTAATTTGTTAAAGAACTACCAAGTTGTAACGTATTCCGTATGTTCCTATCACGAATGTGGAGCTAATATCATTAACGCTGGATCTAATTGCGGGTAGTGTTCTCTCGTAGGACAACTGTGTTCCTTGTCCGTCGGAGACTAATTTTTGCCATGATGCAGTAATGTGTGTAACAAATGGATAACAGGTACAGAGGGGGTTTGCACGTGAAATTACAAATGTTCTGTAGCTCAGTGGAGGGTTTCCGCAATTGATGAACAGATTGTACGTTGTAAGGTGCAGACTTGCAATTATGGCACTGTATGCCCCATGTTGTTGGGTGAGTGAGTGAGTGAGTTTAGTTTTACGCCGTACTCAGCAATATTCCAGCTATATGGCGGCGGTCTGTAAATATTCGAGTCTGGACCAGACAATCCAGTGATCATCAGCATGAGCTATATGGCGGCGGTCTGTAAATAATCGAGTCTGGACCAGACAATCCAGTGATCAACAGCATGAGCATCGATCTGCGCAAATGGGAACCGATGACATGTGTCAACCATTCAGCGAGCCTGACCACCCGATCCCGTTCTCGCCTCTTACGACAAGCATGGGTTACTGAAGGCACATTCTTACCCGGACCTTCACGGGTACTATGTTGTTAGGAGCTTGTTAAGGGTATTGTGGTGGAGTTTTAGGTGGAGTTGTTGGTTTGGGTGGGGTTGTTTGGGGGTTGGCACGCTGGATGGTGAGTCAAAATGAATGTTTGGTTCCTCTATCGTAGATAAAGGTAGCATGTCCAAATGCAGAGACAGAAAAAATCCATCCTCATACAAATATTCCAGGCAGTCACAGGTAGCTTTGTATATTTGTTGAAAATGTATCTTCAAATTATAGTAGTGTTTACCAACGTTGATGCTTAAGTTACCAAATGTTTTGTTTTGTTGTTTAACGCCGCACTCAGCAGTATTCCACCTATAAGGCGGAGTGTACCAAATGTACATCTGTTTAGAATGCTTCAACAAGCGAGAACAAGAATTTTGAATGAACCTTCGACTATATTTTGAATTCGACTATAAGTTCAAAGATGTTTGTATTCTCTTTATCGAGTCCGGTCGTGTCATCTAAGGCTGTGCAGTGCAGAGTTGTGCCCCTTGGTCATGCATGAACCTGTTATCGCTGGGTTAAATGCCGTTTCACGCCGATTATATTCTAGGTTTGTCAACGCCAAAACCGTGCTCGTGGTATCACCAACGAGATAAATGCCTGAGTTCTGCTTCCTTTCGATCTTGGGCAGTGGGGTAGACTAGTCGTTAAAGCGTTGGCTCGTCACGCTAAAGACCCGGGTTCGATTCCCCACATGGGTACAATATGTGAAACCCATTTCTGGTGTTCCCCGCCGTGAGATTGCTGGAATATTGCTAAAAGCGGCGTAAAACCATACTCACTCACTCACTCCTTTCGATCTTACTTCCCACATTAAACTGACGAACCCTGATATGAAAGAAATATTGTTCAAAGCGAAATTAAACCCAGCTCGTATACACACAGGCACTTCGCTAGTGTTGCTGTTGCTTGTTCCGGGATGCCGTGAGCTGACCTTCATCACAATGGGTCCATTATCAGTGAACTGAGAAATGAAATCATCAAAGCCTCATGTTGAATTGTGCATGACTCACACCTGTCCCCCGTCGATTCAAAGGTTAACATGGCGGTCGGAGAAGAGTTGTCACGTCACGCTAAGGAGCCTGTTCATACACCCACACGGTCACACTGTTGTAAACCCATTGATACAGTCCCCACCGTGACACTACAGGAATACTGCTACTTATTACCAAACACCAAATCTCTTCAAAGGTTAACTTGACATCCGCTTGAAGTAGTGTGGCGAGATAGCCTAGTGGTTAAAGCGTTTGCTCGTCGCGCTGAAGACCCGGGTTCGATTCCTCACATGGTTACATTGTGTGAAGACTATTTCTGGTGTTCCCCGGTTTGGTATTGCTGGAATATTGCCAAAAGCAGCGTAATATCCACATCTTTAACTCACTCATGATAGCGCACAATGAAACAATAAGACTTCGCCTCTGTGGGGAAGTGTATGGAGCGTCTGTCCAAAGACCAGGAGGATGTTGACTGAATCCCTAAAAGGCGCTATAAGATGGGATTTGTTGTTACCGCCTGGCGGTCGGCATTAAGAGGGTAGAACAAGGATTGGCCCTGTATAATCCATTACACCAGGCAAAATGTGTATCCAGGTGAGGTGAGGTGAAATTGGGTTTAACGTCGTACTTGAGAATATTTCGCTCATATGACGACGTGCATGCGTGTGTATGTGTATGTGCGCTGCTTGTACTAGCCCAGACTGAAGCTGGTTTTATAGTGCTAGCCCACTGAGATATCATGCCACAGTGAAGCATGAATACCCACTCAGACACATAATACTGACTCCGAGCCGCCCAGTCCTTGATGTACCCATTAATGCCGAGCGCCAGGCAGGGACCAACAAGTACCATATTTTAACGTCTTTTGGTATGACGCGGTCGGGGATCGAACCGTGTTAACCAGGTAAAGCAGAGACATGTTATTTCAGTTGGCCGGCACTTGGCATCAGAGTCTATATAGTTTAGATACGTCGTTATATTAAACCCCATCTGACCCAGGGGCGGATACAGCTTTTGAGAAAGGAGGGTGCACAGTTCGTTTTCACCCGTTTTCACGAGTTAAGGTCAATGGTCATTTAATAAACAGTCAGGACAAATGGGGGTGGTGGTGTGTTACCCAAATCATACCTTTATGTTTGAGAAAGGGAACTGGGTTGTCTTACGAGTAAGATCATTATCTAAAACAGGTTTGATGTTTACAAACCTCAAATTACAAACAAGTGCTAACTGGTGACTAAAGTGACACCAGTTCACCTTCTAGTTCTTGATCTAAAAACCGTTTTAAATGACCACACAAATCAATCTGAAGTCAAGATATCGGAGGTGTGTCTCACGTCTCCGGCACTAAGAAGACCGACAGGCTGATGTTGTCGCCATAATTACCAACCTCGGACAAACAGATCCAGTGTATGAATGATCACGCCGCATGATAGGTACACAGGTATATGTAGTATCTGTGTAAACAGGTAGGGCATGGACAAAGACTCCGAGGTGTGGTCTGTGCCATTACAGTTGACAGAACAACATTGCTGTTTGTCCTGTCTTCTGTCCGCGAGAAGTGACACCCGTGCCATCTAACAAATCAGGGTATTGAAGGTAGATAAAAACAGAAAATAAGCTCTTTGTATCGTGGCACTTATGCAGTACATAAAGGCACCCCGGTCCAACTCTGCTAATTTCAGGGTCGTCCATTACGCTTTAATTCCCCTTGCACTATTTACCCAATGCACGTCTCTCATAACTCGGGGACATTGAGCCCTGGTAGAGAATAAAAGCTGTGTGCTCGAGGAACGCTTCATTGATACAGGACAAACAGAGCTAGTGGGCAATCGTCCAAACTTGTCTTTAATATACAACGTCCAATCGTCCACACTTCACTTCAGCTGGTGAAAAAAATCTGATTACCCAATGCATGTATGTCAGCCCAGCGATCAGACTGCCGTGACTCGATGCGTGCGTGAACATACCTCCTCTCGTGTTGGGCAGCTACACCATTCAACGGGATGGGGAGAAGAGGGGGAAGGAAGGCCATTCCGAGTCACGGAAAAAGGCGGGAACAAGCAGACGTCAAAACTAAATGTCGTCTGACGACGCAGAAGAGATGGAAACGGTGAAACTGCGCGGTGTGTGTGTTGATATTAGCATACCCGTGGATATCCAAAGGATATTTATCAAGACAGCGTTAAATACTTCTTGAAGTCCAGGATCCCAGACCTCTACGATGTAAGTATACGGTCTTTATAACAGTGCCAACTCAGACGAACATTAGCCATGTCACTGGTGAATATATTTACATTTGAAAGAGTATATGTAACACCAAACGGTATTAACTGCTTGCCTTGGTCTCCACGTACCTATACCTCCTGACCCGCCCCATGCACGTCCAGTTATTACGAGTAGGCTGTTTGTATTATTTAACAAAGGTAGATTAATCTGTCAGATCTACCGTAAATCTCCAGTATGACCGCTGATTAACGTGTCTTTAACCTCAGCAATAGGTTCAAGGACAATAACAACAATTACACAGAGTTAGGGACACATCAGTTGAAGTAAGAACAACTGCTTCTTTTTGAGATGTGAGTAACTCAAAGATCCAGATGCAAAGAAGAATGTCTTGTACTGAAGACGAACTCATGCTTTTGAACTATGTACACGTTCCAAGGATTGGTCTTCATGTTCTGAGTCTATGAAAAATGGCCATTGCCTGTGTACCTGTTCTGTAAAGAAGCTTCTTTCAAACCATTGCAGGTGAGTTACCCGATTTATGGTCTGTGTCTCTATTGGGAAACGTTGACGTAAGTATGAGCCTGGGGTTATTTGGGCAATACCGATAACGGTGCTAGAGCAGGGGAACTAATAATTGTCTCCGCTTGTAGGGAATTGAGTACTTAGCGTTACGAACAACAGCTTTGGTACTAGGCTACCCTAAGACCTAAGAACTCGCGTTTAGGATCATTGCACTTATTTAACGACATACGTACTCGCGTGCAAATGTGTGTGTGTGTGTGTGTGTGTGCGTGCGCGCGCGCGCGCGTGTGAGTGTGCGTGTCTACGTGTGCCTGTGCTTGAGGAGGGCTGGGTGGGTTTCGGGCGCATACACGGGTTGCGGGACGTGCACTCGGAACCAGCCCTGGTACCGTGTGCTTAGCCTTTCTGTTCGACCTATTGCCACAGTATAGTGTTTATTTTTTATAGGCGACGATCAACGCCTTGTTTTTGCAACAGTGGGTGCATCGTAACCAACCAATCCTCAAAAGGTCATCCCTAACAAGTATAGCATACCGGGGACATGTTGTTCGTGTTATCATGTAATCCTCTATTGGATTGACTCACTTAAATCAACATTACCGTTATGGGGTTGCCAATATTTGATGAATGAGTTGCCGCCATAACAGACGAGTGCAGACATACCCATGGGAGTCGGTGATAATTGCGTCATCCGGCGGGAGGTGTCAGATAACACGTGGTCAACTAGCTGGGTGTTACGTGTTGAGAGATTGGTCTGACTGACCGAGCACTGGGTAATGCACGTGCAAGTGTATACACTACAGGAGATATATCACCCTGGGGTTATATGGCTGACTGACTGAGTTTGGTTTTACCCCGCTTTTAGCAATATTCCAGCAACATCACGGCGGGGGACACCAGAAATGGGCTTCACACATTGTAGCCATGTGGGATTCGAACCCGGGTCTTCGGCGTGACGAGCCAACGCTTTAACCACTAGGCTACCCCACCGCCCCGGGGTTATATGGCCTCGTAACAATGGGTTGCTGGGTTGTTGCCATTATGCATCTTACCGCACTCAAAGGATAAATGACTGTAGTCATGTGTCGTAATATTGTGAAGGTTTAAAGTTTGCTGCCCTTCATTTGGTTTAAGATTTTGTTCAATTTATTAAAAGTTCAAATTCTGCTGGCAACTGAGTTGCCCTTGATGGAATGTTTTCTAACTTCTTGTAGGGGCCATGATGTCAATCTCGTCATTGTCTGGTCTAGACTTGATTATATACAAACTGGTTTTATAAAATTACAGAACTGTTGCGTGCAGCGTAAAAGATAAAAACAGTCGTAGAAGATAACAAAATTAAAATGTCAGACTTATTTATTTCAATAAATAATATATTATTATTTATTTCAAGAATCATCAACACACACACACACACACACGCACGTACGCACGCACGCACGCACGCGCGCATAAAATCGTTAGTTATTTACATATAGTTATCAATACATTCAAGAAGCCCCGCTTCTTCTCCTTGACTACAAAGCGGCGTATGTATGAAGGGACGATATCACTAGGGACTTAGGACTTCTTTAAGTTATTTTTTCGGGAACAGTAATTATGCCTCAGGTTTCAGTAAATATTTATTCACAGGACACATTGAAAAATGGCAAATTCCTGGTCTCATTTAAAGTTCAGAAGTCCTTCACCAAAAGGAAAATATTTTTGTCAGCGTGAGGGCACTTCGCGGTGTTGGTATGGGGTGTACCAGTATAACTGCACTCAGGGAGTCGACCCCCCTCTGGTGTCATGCACGAGCACGTATACAGTTTACACGCAGGGACCTATCTGGTGTTAATAACTTCCTCAATCAAGTGGCTTCTATGATAATAGAATCTATATATACTCATCGCCACAAGCTCAGTCACGACCTATTGGAACCTACAGGAAGTTCACCATGTATGGGAGTCAGTTTGATTCTTGTGAATTTTGTTAATGACTTTGTTTGGAGTGTGTGCTATATTCGAGGCATAATAACCGTACTTTTAAACTTTGGGATTTCATGCATATTGTATCTCAATCAAATTGATTAAAAGAAAGGTTTCCGTATAGTGAAACCACGTGAATACGGAGGAAATCTTTCACATTTCGCCCTGAATAGCAGGATGGAGAATTAACCGGTTCTGTTGGATTGTCATTTAAGAAGTTGATGAATATTCAAAAAGCTATTGTAATTTATGGATGGCAACTATTTTATCATATTATGATTCGACGTTTCTGTACATAGATTCTTATACTGTTGTCAAGCTTGACGGTATACGATTCTATACCGAAACGTCGCATCATATATAATATAATAAATTATTATATTCTTAAGGGTGAAATACTGTAAATATTGGTGAAAATAAAAATGGTATGTTATTTCACTGAGTAGAATATCACTTTTGCCCGGAACTACTTTCTGCTCAAGGGCTAGACTGTAGTTGGGTTGCGTAATAAAATGCAGACTTACTCGATGTCTCGATCATTTATAAACAATGATCAAAATATAATAAAACCCCGGTTCGATTCCCCACATGGGTACAATGTGCGCAGCCACTCGGGAACATATCAACTTTGTCAGACCATGAGATGAAATATACATATTATTTGACAGCATTAACAAAATATCCTCTATGAATGTGACTTGTTCTTCACTACTCATCCCATTGTGTAACCGATATTCGGCTTGTCCCGGAATAATACGAGCGGTTACGTAAGAGCCCAGGTATATGTGATGCGAAAGTCCGAAATGTCTCCAGAGCATGTTTCGAACGTAAGACGATGATGATGATGGTGATGATGATGATGATGATGATCAGAGCTCCAGATAAGATTTAGCTCATGTGGGTACTGTACCCACTGTAGTTTTTTGGAGTGGGTATTATGAATGTTGAGTGGGTATTTCATTTTCGGTTACCCACTGCTTTCAAATATGTGCGTATTTCAGTCATATTACTCACCTAAGTATTATGTCATTGAGTAAGTTTACTAAGCAGGTATGTTCTGCCTTATGTCATACCTATTCAAAACCAAGTTAAATATAATGGAAAGGATTTCATAAAAAATCACACATCCTAAACTGACAGTACAACACTTGTCCTATACTAACAGTACAACTTGATAGCAATCGATGTCTTTTTCATTACGCAAGCGATTTTTATAAATATATTCCGTACGCATTTGTTTTAAACTTTTTGCGTATCTAACATTTTCAATGCGTAATTGGTACGCAACAATTATTTTTCAATGCGTAATTGGAGATTTTCTATGCGTATTTTACCCGGATACGCAGCTTATCTGGTCCTCTGGATGATGTAGTGCTATTCTACGTATTAGTGCATTCGCATTAGGTGACACCATCATTATCTCAGCTACAGGGACTCATGACAAAGCTGCCTGTTAGAAAAGGTCACAGTCACAGTCACAGTCACAGTCACACTGCTGAATGAAGAGGTGCACATTTCAAAGTCTAAGGAGACACCACGTCTCACACGTGTTTTAGTTTTAGGGCAGGGGCGGCGGGGTTAGCCCAGTGGTTAAAGCGTTGGCTCGTCACGCCGAAGACCCCGATTCGATCGCCCTGATATTGCTGGAATATTGCTAAAAGCAGCGTAAAACTAAACTCACTCACTCACTAGTGTTGGGCAGGATCAAGGTCCTAGATTCTCCAAGAGGTCGACGGTACCTGGATATTTGGGTCTACTAGGATTCACAATAAATCATTAAAAAAAAAGAACTCCATATGAACGTGGGTTCGAATCCAGGTAATATTTCTACATCTGTCATCAATATTTCCGCATACCTAGGTTTCACCAAATGAGTTAACTTTCATCATCTCGGACTTGTCTCCTTTAATAGGCTGTCATGATTTATTTTCACAGAAATACTCAAAGCGGCCTTAGACAACTCACTCAGTCATACTACTCTTATGAAGTTAGGGACACTTGATTCTTACATAAAACTTCCTGACAGATTAACTGGAGTGATATGAAAGAATCAGGATTTCCTTAATTTCTCATCAGTATAGAGTGAAAAATGTATCGGTGGGTGTTTCAGGGGAGGAGAGTTGGGGTGGGAAGAGGATGCATGAGGACAATATAGTCAGTTGTAAGGCTTCTCGTATAAAACTGACTGACTGAGTTTGGTTTTACGCCGCTTTTAGCAATATTCCAGCAACATCACGGCGGGGGACACCAGAAATGGGCTTCACACATTGTACCCATGTGGGGATTCGAACCCGGGTCTTCGGCGTGACGAGCCAACGCTTTAACCACTAGGCTACCCCACCGCCCCTCTCATATAAAAGGGATTGGAATTTTGATTTTGCTCTTAAAAATGTGCAATTGTATAAACATAGCAGACAATCCCTTGCAACACACGTAAGATGTCAAAATTCAGATCCCGACTACTTCATGGGAATGTTTTAATGATTCGAGATAAAACAGCGATGATAC